CCCCAAAACCCCAAAACCCCAAAACCCCAAAACCCCAAGCTTTGCCTTATTTCTTGAAATTTTATATGAAATATTGCTACTTTTGGCCCTGCTTATTGGCTCTCTGTAAGGCTACCTCTGTGCCTAAGCTCAGTCTCTTATAGACGTTAACTTTAGTAGAGGGCTCTCAGAGCTGATCCTCTGGGTTCATGATTACAATAGGGTGGTTCCTCCTCCAGCTTTGCTGTTTCTAAAAATTACAAAAAGCATACCTTCATATATCTTTGGTATCCAAGGGAGACCCTTGCAAATGTTGACTGGTAAGAAGGCAGATGCCTACTCTTATGTATCTTGAACAACTTGCGGATATCTATTATTCACTTGGAGAATTTAGAGTCTATACAAGCATCAGCGTTACCTTACCAAGCTTAAAAGTCCTTATAGTACTGTATAACTTGGAGAGATAAGGTATCTACATCAAGAGTCTCCCATTGTGGCTCCCCACTCTTGGGGGCTAGGATCATAACAAACAAGAATAGGTATGTCAGAATCCCAATTTCGTACAAAAAGCTCGTAATATTCCCGTATGAAGTATCCTGAATAGACAGGTCCAGCAGGTATATAAACTTTTTGAAGATATAATACATAGGCAAGACAAACTTTAGTCAAGCTACTAGCCTCAGTCTCTCTTTGATTAAGCTCCTTCTCACAACTGACTGGACAATTTGAAGCTGATTCTCCACTTCATGAAGATTCCTTTGGACAATCTTGATGTAGAACGTCAAGAATATCAGGTAGAACGGTAAGCGGTAGAATAAGTCAGAGAGCAATGTGATGCCATAGAGCAGTAATATGAGGGATAAATAGCCTGGGAGCTTCTCCTTAGGAAAGCTGTTCCTAGCATAACCCATTCCTCAGGAAATGGACAGACTGATTACAAGGAAAATCACTTCAAAGGAATATACTGCTCATGATCTCAACAAAGTTATATAAATGTACAATGCTTTGTTGGTCCATGGGCACTCAGTGATGAAGAAATGTAGTGATCCTGTCTCTATTAGCTTAACTAAGGGAAGAATTAAGAGGATTCTATGGAACCCTGACTGGCTTCTATATTAGAACAATCATATCTATTACCTTAGGAATACTTACCTGAGAGATGTTAACATCCAATACACCATGATCGAGGTATACCCAGCCATTATTGCGAGAAAGAAGTATTCGAAGATTTTAAACTCTTGGCAATTGTAGCTTCTAAAGTGGTGCAGCACAGCAGTTACTTCGCTGTTGTTCTGTATTCAGGATTATTCCATGAATATTCTCAAGAACTTACCTGAAATAAAGCGGCTTTTTGAGCATCGATACTTGTGTCAAGATTTATCAAGAAAACCAAGGTGCCCTATACAACCGATTAAACTTTGTTTCGATATAATTTAAGCTGATTGCAAACAACAGTAAGTGAAAATGGGGTTGGGAACACTCAGTCCTGTCTTACCTCCTTCCTGTTCATGTTTACAGATTCCTTGAGGAACTGATCGAAACTATGTGTGCCCAACTCAAGAATATTTTTATCAATGAGCAAGACCTTTGCCTTTAATGGAGCATTTGCTACCTCAAAGTTGGAGAGACCGTAGCCTCACGGTGAAAGGTATCTTTCCTTGGTTATAATAACCAAAAGGTATTGTTAGCAGACTTCTGTGGGGAATCCAGACAGTTATACATGAAATCAGCAGCACTTCCAGCTGCTCATAAAGTTCCTGTCAGAGTAAGGTTAGTGTACCCGAAATGATGATGGTTATTCCAAGGTTCAAGGGATAGCTTTGTGAACGCAACCTCGCTCTTTTTGTGATAAAACTCCAGATAATCCTTGCTTACCTGGAAATTAGAGTCTTTGTCTCCATATTTAGAGAATATGGAACAATTTGTGTAACAGAGAATTATCAAGAACAGTAGTAAGGATTTTCTCATCTTTTATATAAATATTTCAATCATCTTGCGATTAATTGGGGTTTTGGGGTTTTGGGGTTTTGGGG